ATAGATCCCCCGTCCAATTCAAACGGGGATCGATATTACGGCCTGAGCCGAGGTTCGAACCCCTAGTGGTGCCCTCAGACTAAAGTCGTATCCGTCAGGCGGGAGTTGGTCATCAGTCGCTTCATAAATCCTTCCACGTTTGGAGTGCCATCTGCACTCATCCCCTATCGTCCGGTGAAGTTGTAAAGGCCAGCTGCGGCCAACAGCATTAGAGTAGTCCGAAAAAAAAAGAAACTAGAACAAATAGGGTGCGTTCAGAAATTTCTTGCGTAACTAAACTTCAAAACTTTAACTCTGAGGCGGAACTGAGTTCGCGTGGTACCAAATAAAAATAAAATGTATATTTTCGTTACCCAATTACACTGTGAAATTTAGAATACCAGTAATTTTTTTTTAATGGACGATAATGGAGTGGTAACCTGGCCTGTGCTGACCGTATACGCTGGCGGGGCATCAGAGGAGGATGATAAAATGAGCATGAGGTCGGGTCAGTTAACCCATCGTGACAAATTTACCATAAGTTTATCAATATAGTTTCTAGGCCCTTGAAACTATAGTGATAAACTCCTGGTAAATTCGTGGATCCCCTAGATTCTAGAGGGAGCCACGTAGAGGTCAACCTGACATGGTACATTGCTAGCATGCTAGCATGTGGTTATTAATCTACAGTACTAACAATCCCTTTCCCTCTCGTGAATTCATATTCTAGTTTAACATATACAATATTTTATATTTCTCGCTTCTTAAGTTCATATTGTATATATTACTGAGATAGTGCCTAGTTCAGTTCCTGGCTCACACAATCACAAATTGTTTATGAAATTTATGTAAGACTTTTACATGAATGTGGCTTAATAAAATTTATTATATATATTCGTCTGAAACATTTATAATTTTATTTCGCCCAATTTGCATAATATCCTTTTACCGCATAGCCTATATATTATTCTGATGTATAAGCTATATTACTGTAAAGTTTCATTAAAATCCGTTCAATAGTTTTTGCGTGAAAGAATAACAAACAATATATATAGCATGTCCATCCATACTCGCAGACTTTCGCGTTTATAATATTAACTAGCTTTTACCCGCGCCTTCGCTCTCATAACTTCATTACTGGCTGTTACGTGGCGCTGATTTATAATTGATTTATAACTTCGTTACTGGCTGCTAAAGGGCTCTGGAGTAGTAAAATGTTGATATTTTATTTTTATGTTTTTTATAAAAATATATTTGTGTTTTTTTTATAAAAAGTATTCTATGTTCATTGTAATACCTCCAAGAACATGTGTACAAAATTTCATAATGATCGGCTCAATAGTTTTTGCGTAAAAGCGTAACAAACATCCTTACATTACATTCATCATTTATATCATTTATGATATTAGTCTAAACGGATAAGATTATATTCTATCAATTTTTTATATTTTACATCGTTTATACTTCTACGTTTATTTGCAGTCGGTTCATTTTTATATATGTAGATGATATTAGTAAGGATAAGATTATTATCACCCTTTATACCGTTTATTTGCAGTCGGTTCAAAAGAGCTTTTCCCCGTCAGACGTTGCCTTGAATGTGTCATGGCCAGGAAACAAAGATCCATTTGCCGACTGCCCTCACAAAGGGGAAATGGGAGCAATTCGTTCAAGTATACTGCCATGCTATTGGCCCGACGTGTAATTTATTGCTTATTTCCAACGAGATCACTATATTATGTAATAAACTAGCTAATCGCCCCAGCTTCATACGGGTGTATATCTATACTTATTAATATTATAAAGCTAAAGAGTTTGTATAAACGTGCTAATCTTAGGAATTACTGATTCGAATTGAAAAAATATTTTAGTGTTGGATAGTCCATTTGTCGAAAGAGGCTTTAATAATAATAATAATAATCTCAGGACAATTCACACAGCTCCATCTAGACCCAAGTTAAGCTAGCTAATGCTTGTGTTATGGGTACTAGATAACTGATACAAATACATAGATATTTTTTTCGTAAATAAATACATATTATTCATAGAAAACACCCAGACTGATACAAGCAATCATACTCATGAATACCGTTTGTGCCGTGCAAGGAATCGAACCCGCGACCATCGCAGTCAGGCGATGTGACCACCGAGGCCGTTTAAGCTATATAACATTACGCTACGACTAATAGAAGCAAAGCATTAGTGAAAAATGTTGCAAAAACTGGGAAAATTATTCATATTTGAGGGCTTCCAAAGATACTCGTGATAGTGTTTTTGATAACCACGCGAAGGAAGTCGCGGGCACAGCTAGTATATATATTTTTTTATAGATGATTATGGAATGGTGCACCCGTCTGCGCTAACGGTTTACGCTGGCGGGGCCCCAGTGGAGGATGATAAGATGAACATGAGGTCAGGTCAGTTAGCCCATCGTGACAAATTCACCAGGAATTTATCACGATGGTTTCCAGGGAGATCCGCGTGGAGGTCAACCTGACATGGTACATTGATAGTAATATGGTCATGGGTTATGAGTCCATATTACTAACAATTCTCTTCCCCCCACAGCTAGTATATTATATATATGAATCTTCCTATTATTATTCCGATATTCGCTCTATCTATTGCTAAAAACTGTATTAAAATCCGTTGTGTAGTTTAAAAGATCTAAGCGAACAGACAGTGGATGCAATGTGAGTTCTTTTCCACCCAGTATCCTACTGCTACTGTGACACAGTGGAAGCTTTACTTATACGTGATAGAATCTTACTAATATTATAAACGTGGAATTTTGAGAGTGTGTATGGATGTTTGTTACTCTTTCACGCAAAAACTACTAAATGGATTTTAACGAAACTGAACAGTAATATAGCTTGTACATCATAACATATAGGCTATAAATTTCACGCGTGTAATCGCGAGCACAGTTAGTTATATATATTTTTAGTCAAGTATAGTCTAGTTTCAAGGGCCCGATTTTAAAGAATGTTATTTTATTTTGTCCGGATACATAGGAAGTTTCACGATATATTATATTGCAATTTCATTCGATTTTAGTAACATAACAAATTCGATAACATTTATTTCTCATCAATCATCCATTTCGCTATTTGTCTCAATAGAAAGACAAATGTCACAGCGATGCCTTATTCAATACAAAAAACGGTTTGGTACGGCAAACTGATGAAATATCTCTTTACCACTTACTGTATAGCAAAGTAGAATTTATTATACATTTTATAGAAATAGAAATAGAAATAATCTTTATTCAAATAAACTCATTACAAGCACTTTTGAGTAGTCATATTTTGATTCTACCACTCATTCGGAATGCAGATTCATCACAAGAAGAATGAGCAAGAAACTTGTGGATTATATATTCTTTATTGCACTTTTAAATACAGTTCTTAACTTAAACATATACAGAGTGAGCAAAGGTGGACTTATCTCTAAGAGAGATCTCTACCAGTCAACCCAACAGTGTGGCAAAGCTAGTGGTGAGATAGGTAACACCTGTGCAATTAAAACTATTATGTTAAAATCTCCATAGGTTGTTAAAATAAAATATTTAAAATTCAACATTAAATAAAGTTCTAATTATATTATAATTATAATAAAATATAGAGTAATAAATAAAATAAACATTAATAAAAGTTATATATGACCAATATAATCTTTTTCTTCTCTATTTTGAAATCTATTAAAATGTTTTTGTTTATGGGTATAAATCCAATAGCGGTCGAAATTTGATCACTAATTGGGAAGGTCATAACGCTTCCCTTAACCGCGATCAGATTTCCGCACTGATTATTTGTGGTCTCACACATGCTAAAGGTAGTGGAATTATACCAAATAATAAATTCATTATGTAATCATTACATAGTATAAAACAAAGTCTCTGTTACTGTCTGTCCGTCCCAATGTATGTTTAAATCTGCACAACTACGCAACGGATTTTGAATCGTTTTTTTTTAACAGATAGAGTGATTCAAGAGGGAGGTTTAATGGTTAATACATTACACCCGTGCGAAGCCGGGGTGTGTAGCTAGTACATAAATTAATTTCTAAAAGTTTTAGTTAATTACTTCCAGCTTCGTAGTTCTGGAAGAGTATTGCATACACTTCTCATGAAATATATCCAGATTTGGTAATATAGCAGTTGTCTTATTGTAATTGCGACATATCCAGCATTACATTAATCAAAAACACACGTCCTGTATAAACCATGTATTCATAAATACACAAGCGTGCGAAAAATATAAGCCAGTCTTTGTTCAACCGGCAAAATTCCTAAATCACAATCGAGGGAAACTGTCAACCCACCGCCGCGCTGCGAGACATTAATCAGACCTTCTCACGAAATCTTCGATAAGTCCATTCTTATATTAAAGCTACAAAAAGATTTCTACGTCCTTTACCGTTGTGTTTGTTCTCCGCTTACTGTTGCTACGAGGAAAATGGTCGTACGGATCAACCGTACGGGTTTTTGCGAGTCGGCATTTAAGTATTTTTTTCATTCCAAAGTATACTGATGATGCTAATAGACGATAGAGAAAAAAATATTGAATTAGATACATGTATTGAATTGAAGGAGTTTCATGTTTGAGAGACCTAGTTTTAGGTCGTTATGCATCAGCTTACAAGCCCTACAAAAAACAAAAAAGAATGAACATGAAGTGAAAAAGTGATAGCACGGGCGGGTCATGCATTTATGATAATGTTAAAGTAGAAGGGTGAGCTATCTTTAAAATTAAATAGCAGATGATACCGCGGGGCACAGCTAGTAAGTTGTATTACTAGGACGACGCAACAGTTTCCAAGACCTTTTTTCATTTATATTATCGTCATAAGTCTGTTAAAATATGTATATGTCAAATAGTCGAATCAGTATTCGTAACCAGAACAGAGTAGTCCCCACAAGCAGCACCCGTTCACGATTATGACGGATAAGCCAGCCATCATTACACACAACCATATATCATATTGATTGACAACTGTGTAATACTGATTTGCAATTACAGGAGACGTACACGGACGTGCCAGTGTCTCCGGCACCTGAGGCCGAGCATTGCCATTGGAAGCCGCAAGCGGAGCCTCCCAGCGCGATACCTCAACTGCTGATCGCTCTAGTCCTCTGTGGATTCTTTATGGTTAGTTTGTTTTTGGTTACCAGATGAAAAAACATGGAGGTCCACCTGACATTGTACATTGCTGGCAGTGGGGTTATTAGTGGTGATCAATCGAGTCATAACGCGAGTTTCAAGGAGTTTGTGGTCAGAGTTCCCAGTAGTTCCCACATCTAACCACTTTATTGAAGGAGGACTACTGTTCGAAGGGTGTGGTGTATCGGCGCTACCGTGGCAGATTACCATCATCGGTGCCGTGATCACACAGACAATTTATAGTTCTTTTCTTATAATTATATTGTATATGCATGTTAGTCTGTAAGGTATTTATATGGGCCATTAGCTGCCTGATTTAAATAAATAAATAAAAATAAAAAATAAATTACTAAAACCAAACAAATCAAATCAAAAATTATTTATTCATGTAGGATTATTCATTTTAGCCGATTATGAATGTCAAGTTTTTGTTTTAATTACATATGCGCTGTACAGCGCTGTACAGCATTCGTTTAAGAAGTTAATTTGTTTTTAGTTTCTTTAAGTAAACTATTATTTTTTTAATAATACGTGAAGCAAAAACATTGTACCCTTTTTTACGAAAATAGTGCAGGAGGATGAAATAAATTTCGCACACTTATCCTTACTTCATTATATAGTATAAAACAAAGTCTCTGTCGCTGTCTATCCCTATGTATGCTTACATCTTTAAAACTCAGCAACGGATTTTGAAGCGGGTTTTTTTAATAGGTGCAGTGATTCTAGAGGAAGGTTTATTTATATAATACATGTACACCCGGGTGAAACCGGGGCGAGTAGCCAGTAAAGTATAAAATTGTTTATATCAATGTATTGTTACCTAGTTTTCGCCGTGTAGCTTGCCAAAAATGTCCACGATCCTTGCGTCGTTTCTATTGACGTTTTCTATATTTGGCACCAATGCTAACTTGCACATTACATTGTACGTTTTCGATGCTGAAACACGGCCCAGTTGTTTACCCGACTAACCAAAGAATATTCTTTATTTTTTTACATATTTCTTTTATGGTTTGGCATTCAAATTATATGCAACCCTAAAATGTTCACTCTTCTACCCTTAACCTAAGTACACCCTAACCCTTATGCTTTAACAGCGATATTAATTTATATGGCAAAACAACGTTTGCCCGGACAGCTAGTGTTATTAATATTATAAACGCAAAAGTTTGTTAGTATGGATGGATGGATGTTTGTTACACTTTCACGCAAAAACAACTGAACGGATTTTTATGAAAGACTACTGTAATATAGGCAGAATAACACATAGGCTGTAATTTAAAAATATATTATGTAAATTGAGCGAAATATAATGCTAAATGTCAAGTAAGTGTATATATAATATACTTAAGTAGACTTAGAAGAAAGTCATCTCAGCAGATATCACTTCCCAGTGAATATGTCATCGACAATTGGCATCAGATGGGCCGTCAGGCTGTAAGCCATACCAGTTATAAAATGTATGTAGCTGATTGGTGCCATCAGATGGGCCGTCAGGCTGTAAGCCATACCAGTTATAAAATGTATGAAGATGGCTGAAGATGGAAACTCATCTCAGCAGATACCGCTTCTCAGTGAATATGTCATCGACAATTGGCATCAGATGGGCCGTCAGGTTGTAAGCCATACCAATTATTATAAAATGTATGTAGCTGATTGGTGCCATCAGATGGGATGTCAGGCTGTAAGCCATACCAGTTATAAAATGTATGAAGATGGCTGAAGATGGAAACTCATCTCAGCAGATACCGCTTCCCAGTGAATATGTCATCGACAATAGCCAACTGGTGGGCATCACTTATAAAATTTACTTATGTAGCTGACACTTGATGGTAATTCAAGTGAGCCATCAGATTGTAGGTCATTCCTAAATATTATATAAAAATGATGTTTTCTATTACAGATATGCGAACTTATTGGTGGGTACTTAGCCGGTAGTCTGTCGGTGATGTGTGATGCTGCACACATGCTCAGTGATTGCGGCGGGTTTGCACTTGCCCTCCTCGCGTTCCACTGCGCCAAACGACCGCCGGATGTACACATGTCTTATGGATACAAGCGTGCAGGTTTGTAATTTTATATTGACAGCCTCTATCAGTTAAACAATGTATGTAGGCTGCCATTGCCATCGATAATTGCCATCAGGTGGGCCGCCAATTTGAAGCCATAGCAGTTATAAGATGTATGTAGCAATCTCTTGCCATCAACAATTGCCATCAGGTTTGTAATATTATATTGACGGCCTCGATGGTCTAGCGGCGACCAATGTAAGTAAAGCGGTGTGCTAAAGCACACCGCTTTACTTACATTGGTCGCTGGTTCAATTCCTCGCACGGTGCAATTTTTATTCATGAGTATGATTGTATCGGTCTGAGCGTTTTCTATGTATATGTATGTGTTTACGAGAAAAAAATTCTATGTATTTGTATCAGTTATCTAAGCTTTAGCTAGCTTAGCTTGGGACTAGATGGCATGATGGCTTCTATAAAAATAGTTTAAAATACTGTCCTGTCAGAATCTTATCAGACACTCTTTGGAGTGCGTCAGACATTATCTAACAGAAAATTCTCGCCTGTATATACCCGCCAGTATATAATCGCCCTAAATTACACGGTTGGCTGAGCACAAGTGTCGGATACCTTCACTTGTATAGTGCTATGTCATTCACGTGTGGAAGAGAATATGGAAATTAAATTCTCAAGTTCTAACATTGGCATAATTATTTAGATGGATCTATTCGGCCTTGGTGGTCTGGTGGATTAGCACACCGCTTTACTTCCCATGGTCGCAGGTTTAATTCCTCGCACGGCACATTCAATTCAATTCAATTCAAAATATCTTTATTCATGTAGATCCATTACAGACTCTTATGATATGTCAAATCTACCGTCAGTTCGGAATGATTTCGAGATGAGAAGAACTGACAAGAAACTCAGCTCGTATTTTTTTCAAATAAATGTTGTACATATTTACAATAATACAGATTCATTTTTAAATTCAAATTTGGGAGAATATAGTGCGCAAACATTTGTATTCATGAGTATGATTGTTTGTATCGGTCTGGGTGTTTTCTTTGTATAATATGTAGGTATTTATGAAAAAAAACTATATATTTGTATCAGTTATCTAGTGCCCATAACACAAGCTTTAGCTAGCTTAACTTGGGTCTAGATGGCGCTGTGTGAATTGTCCTGAGATTATTATTATTATTATTAAAATTTCATTCAATGTTGTATGGATTTCTTTCTTGGAGATGACTTTTTTAAATATTACATTATAGAAGAAAGTAAATATTGATTTATTTAAGGCTAAGTTCAGAGTAATGCTATTAATCAATTAACCATTTAAATTTAGTAAGAATTCAAAATCTATACAACTATAAATATATAAAATTGAAGTGTCTGTTTGTAATATTGAAATAACCCTTTTTACTACATGCATATGAATATAAATACGTTATATACACCAAATATTTTTTTTAGATTTTTTGTCTGTCGGTCTGTTTGTTCCGACTAATCTCTGAAATGGCTAGACCGATTTTGACGGGACTTTTTTTAGCAGGTTGCTCATGTAATAAGGAGTAACTTAGGCTACATTTATTTTAGAACAATTCTTTGATTAGGAAAATAAAGTTAAATTCCACGCGGACGAAGTCGCGGGAAGAGTTAGTTTATCTTATATATAAAATTCTCGTGTCACTTTTCGTTCCCATACTCCTCCGAAACGGCTTGACCGATTCTCATGAAATTTTGTGAGCGTATTGAGTAGGTCTGAGAATCGGCCAACATCTATTTTTCATCCCCCTAAATGTTAGGGGTAGTCCACCCCTAAATTTATTTTTTTATTTTAAGGCAAAACAACGTTTGCCGGGACAGCTAGTAATATATATCTTTATGTCTGTCTGATACAGAGGTGCTGGGCGCGATGGTGTCCGTTCTTCTAATCTGGATCCTGACGGGCGTGTTCGTGTACGTGGCTGCAGTGCGGCTACACACAGACGAGTACAGTATCGAGCCCAACATCATGATGATCGTATCGGGCTGCGGCGTCGTGTTCAACGTTATACTAGCGCTCGTGTTACACGGCTGTGCCTCCGATATAGGTCAGTGTTTAGTTAGTGTTTTAATTTATTTATTTCAGGCTACTAGGCCCATATCAGGGTTGTAAGGGAGCTCCGTAACCGTAACCGAAACTATCGGATATCCGATATAAAAAATATCCGTAACCGTAACCGAAACTATCGGATATCCGATATAAAAAATATCCGAAACTATCGGATATCCGATATAAAAAAATATCCGTAACCGTAACCGAAACTATCGGATATCCGATATAAAAAAATATCTGTAACCGTAACCGAAACTATCGGATATCCGATATAAAAAAATATCCGTAACCGTAACCGAAACTATCGGATATCCGATATGAAAAAATATCCGTAACCGAAACTATCGGATATCCGATATAAAAAATATCCGTAACCGTAACCGACACTATCGGATATCCGATATAAAAATATCCGTAACCGTAACCGAAACTATCGGATATCCGATATAAAAAATATCCGTAACCGTAACCGAAACTATCGGATATCCGATATAAAAAATATCCGTAACCGTAACCGAATCCGAAGTAAAAGTTTCGGATAATATCGGATAGGGGCGAAGCGTAATTGAGACACGTTATGTAACCATTTTATTAGCTATTTGTATTTCACTTTGGAAATTCCTTAAAAAAATTATATCCGTAGCCGAAATTATCTGAATTTAATGGATAATCCGAAATAATTTCATATCCGCATCCGTATCCGGTAGAATAATCATTCCTATATCCAAAACCTATCCGTATCCGAAATTTCATATCCATAACATCCCTGGCCCATATTATAAATATCTTATAGATTAACATACATAATTCAAATTCTAAATATCTTTATTCATGTAGGTCTATTACAGACTCTTATGATATGTCAAATTTACTCTGAAGGTAAATCTACCTTCAGAGTAAATTTGATTCAGATCAGATTGATGAGAAATTTGATTCCTAAGATGTATTCGATGCAGTGGTTATACAGTAAAAGAGAAATATTCAATTTTTTTTTAGGACGATAGAGTAGTCCGAAAAAAATGTTCCGCCTCAGAGTTAATGTTTTGAAGTTTAGTTACGCAAGAAATTTCTGAACGCACCCTATTTTTTCTAGTTTGTTTTTTTTCGGACTACTCTAATGCTGTTGGCCGCAGCTGGCCTTTACAGCTTCACCGGACAATAGTGCGAGTGCAGATGGCACTCCAAACCCGCTGAAAGACTTATGGAGCGGCTGAAGGCCAACTCCCGCCTGACGGATACGACTTTAGTCTGAGGGCACCGCTAGGGGTTCGAACCTTAGCTCAGGCCCTCGTAATACCGATCCCTGATTGAATTGGACGGGGGAGAATTATTCAAATACCGACCTCCATATTTATAGACCGAAGTCAGTGTAGTAGGGAGAGAAGCGGAGGCAACGGTTATCTTATGACAAACAACTTAGTTCGGTCTATAAGTACTAGATGGCGCTATTTATAATATTTGTAATAATCCTTACATTTAATACTTCATTAATATTAAATATTAAGTAATAGTGATTTGATCAATATATACCGAATATAATTAAATTAATTAATTAACAATGAAAATAGTTATTGTATTGAACTTGCGCTATCATATATATATATATATATATATATATATATTTTTATCAGCTCTAGTACTCATAATTCAAGCTCTGCCTACCGTCGGATTAGATGGCGCTGTGTTAATTGTCCAGGGGGTATTATGATTAATTTTTTTTTCTATATTTTTTCACAGCTCACCATCACACGCACGGTGGGGCAGCGTGTCCGCACACGCACGCACACACGCACGACACGGACGCGCCGCGCGTCGGGTTCCGTCTGTTTAGGAGATCGCGCGAACATAAACAGACAAACGGTGCTCTAGTGAATGGAGATTATGGTATGAAGGATCTGTCCAGTGCGGAGGCTAATGTCGGATCTAGAGCCAGGTGGGTTGTTTTTTTAGACCAGCGAGGCCGTCAATTATTGATTCCATATGCACGTTTCCATCATGTTCCAATCATTATTACTTGGTATTAAATAGTTTTAAGAACTATTGTATATATGGAAATAATCTTATATATAAAATTCTCGTGTCACAGTTTTCGTTCCCATACTCCTCGGAAACGGCTTGATCGATTCTCATGAAATTTTGTGAGCGTATTGAGTAGGTCTGAGAATCGGCCAACATCTATTTTTCATCCCCCTAAATGTTAGGGGTAGTCCACCCGTAAATTTTATTTTTTTATTTTTTAGACAATATTTTAGTTTCTATTTTTATATGATACAACATATAAAAATACATACAATCCTAAATTTTCATCCTTCTATCATCAACCCCTATTTTTTTTATAGCGTTATTAATTTATATGGCAAAACAACGTTTGCCGGGACAGCTAGTATCATATAAGCACAGAAACTGTATGTATAAGTGTTGTAGGATATTGTTAAGTTATTTCTTTAGTCAGCCGAGCACCTAACATATCAATTATGTGTAATGATATCCTCTGAACCACATACTGACTTGCATGTCTACTGTGTGGTTCGCCGTAATGTGTATTAAATGTAAAAGTGTTTTATTGCCAATAAAGTTTGTTATTATTATATATTTTATAGGAACATCAACCTACGTGCTGCACTCATCCACGTAATAGGAGATTTGATACAAAGCTGTGGAGTACTGCTAGCTTCTGTGGTCATCAAGTTTTATGTAAGTCTGTCCGTCTACAATGTATTAGAATAGAATAGAATTCAAATATATTTTATTTAAATAAACTTAAAATAAGCACTTTTGAATAGTTATATTTTTTTATTCATTAATTATTTAAAGAAAATAGAAACCTAAACGTATATGGAGGGCATATTCATATATATAAATCTAAATATATATAACTCAAAGGTCAGTGACATAGTGATCTATCAACGCACAGCCCAAACCACTGGATGGATTGGGCTGAAATTTTGCATGCAGGTAGATGTTATGACGTAGGCATCTGCTAAGAAAGGATTTTGATTATTCTACCCCTAAGGGGATGAAACTTTGTTAATTTTAAACCGATCGGGCTGAGACTTTGCATGCTTAAAGCTACTATGAGGTAGGCATCCTCTAAGAAAGTATTTTGATAAATTCCATCCCTAAGGGGATAAATTAACTCGAGCGAAGCCGCGGGCAAAGCTAGTAATCTATAAAAGTATAAGTGTGTGAAATTTCATAATCCTCCGTCTGCGAAATTTTCGTAAAAAAACAACAAATATTTTTGCTTCACCTCTTAAGATATATGTACATGTACAAGCGTTACTACGATAATCCGCGTCAACGTGGAACGGCGTGAGAGCGAAGTGTAGACTGACCGAAGTGACTGAAGAGAACGATGTTCACAGCCGGCGGCGAAGGTGGTGGACCCGGTGTGCACGTTCGTGTTCAGCGTGGTGGTGCTGATGACGTCGGCGCGCGTGGTGCGGGACGCGCTCCGCATGCTGATGCAGGGCGTGCCGCCCGCGCTGCGCTACCGGGACTGCGTCGCCGCCCTCGCCGCGCTGCCCGGCGTCAGGCACGTGCACTCGCTGCACGCCTGGCAGCTCTCCACGCACCACCTCGTGCTCACCGCGCACGTGGCGCTCGGTTAGTACACTACACCACGTGCACTTGCACGTGGCGCTCAGTCAGTACAGTATACGATGTGCACTCGCACGTGGCGCTCGCTCAGTACAGTACACAACGCGCACTCGCAAGTGGCGCCCGGTTAGTACACTACACGACTTGCACTCGCACGTGGCGTTCGGCGTGTTATCCCCTATAGACATGAATAATGCTATGTACATAAAACTAACGAAGTGATGCTCATGACACCATGTACTTTATTATACCTTATAATTTCACTGTCATGTCTCACTCAAACCCAAAAAGAAAGACGTTTCATGAAGAAACAGTCAACACAAATATATCCTGGCATAAAACTGGGCATAATTTCTAACTCAAACAAACACAATGAAACAATTTCCATTGTTTCTAAATGTACGATTATGTATGTACAGTTTTCTTCGGCTTTTTTTATTATAATTATCGGCTATCAAACCCTCCAGGGTTCTCACGCGCCGTTCACAGCTTAATGGCCGCATGACGCCAGCAGTGTGCGATAGAGACGATGCAATGCTTCCTATTCTTTCGCACATACATACCTTCTACACAATTGTAATATTTGTTTTCCTAATTATCGGCTGTCATACACACACCAGTGTTCTCACTCACCGTTCACAGCATAATGGCCGGATTATGTCAGCAGTGTGCGATAGAGACCACATGATGCTTCTTACTCTTTCCCACATATACTACAACGTATCTGTGATGGCAGATGATCTGGCGGATCCTGAGACGGTGCTCCGCGCGTGCCAGCGACTGGCGCGGGTGGAGTTCGCGGTACAGTCGGCGACATTCCAGCTGGAGCGGTACTCGGCCGCCATGTCCTCGTGCCACACGTGTCTCCAGCAGCCGGCCCTCGTGCCCTGACACCTTCACACGCTCTCGCACTAGCTGCCGCTCCGTACAAGGTCAGTGTTGCCAGCAAGTGACGCGTATTTTTTTTTATTTGTCTCTTACAAACAAAAATCATATTTTTCTTTACAATATAATATTTAATATTCAGTTGAAACAAAACAAAACAATTATGTAAACATTGTTTTCTACCACAATTGTTTATGTTATAATAAAAAAAAAATGAATCATAATAATCTCTTTTTCAGGGTGTGATAAGCTACAAAGGAGATATACGGGTCTGACAGATACACATTAGTCTGCAACTGCTGTCACAGTAAAAATAAAAAAAATGGACTGAAATTTGACTGTTCCACCGTGGATTTTAAGGACATAGAGTAAGAATTGTTACTTGGCTTACTGACTATTGAACTATGCTTATTTATTTCACTTAATTATTCGCCCATTTGTAGGTAGTTCGAGAAATGCATAATATATACTATGTTATACGTAATATATAAAAAAGTTAGTATAAATGTATAATATTAAAATGTTCGTTTGTTAATCCATCGCTATTGTAATATATAGCGGGTGTTCATGATAGTTAAATACGTAAATAACATATGAAGAGCTTAAAAAAGCGAACTGTCAAAATAGTCATTTTGACAGTTCGTAATTTATGTACAGTTTTGTCAAGAACCCGGGTAAAAAAAAAGAATCGGGTAAAAGAATGGTGAATTACTTTCTATTATTAATATGTATATATTTAATCATTATAATTTTGATAGTATATTCGTTGGATAGTTATGAAGTAATTCGACCAATTTTGTCTGGTAAATTAAAATGTTTGCTCCCAAAATAGTATAAAAAAAATGAAATGTAGAAAAGAGCTGGTACGATGTTCAAACGCAAAAATTTCCTAGATATTTTACATTCTTATTTTGACATTCCATTAACGAATTAAGAATATAAAATCGTCATAAATTAATGAAAGATACAATATATAATAATGAAGACGTATATAACACCACATTACTATATATTACGTATATAAATTAAAAAAAATATTCGTACAACGGATGCTAGAGAAATGACACTAGGAACACGATATAAAAAAAATGATAATAGTATTGTAAATGTGCCAATTGTTTTATAATCTGTGGATGTTGTTATAATCTATTTGTAATAATATATTGGACAAATAAAGAAATTGTGGACTTGGACTGTAAAACTTGCAATATCAATATTACACTAATGAATTTAAAAAATTATCATTGAAAAACGCCGTTTTTTTGGACCTGTATTTATGTAAGCCTCTTAGGGCGAGTGAGAAAATTATACTATTCATATGTATGTATTAAAAAACGGTTATTTCAATATTAAACAGATAATATAAATCCATTTTTATTTATATATATACGATAAACCTAGTGAACTTTCAGTAATATATTTTATTATAAATGACCCCAAAGTTTATAATTATTCTAGCTGTTCCCGCGACTTCGTCCGCGTTTATATTATTTTTCTAAAATAAAAGTAGCTTAAGTTACTCCTTATTACATCAGCTACCTGAAAAAAAGTTCCGTCAAAATCGGTCCAACCATTTCAGAGATTAGCCGGAACAACTAAAAACTGCATTAAAATCCCTTGCTTAGTTTAAAAGATGTAAACGAACAGACAGCGGAAGCGACTTCATTTTATGTATAAAGACTTTGACAGTTAATATAAATGTTGCAAGTTATACAGGCTGATCTAATAAATGTATTTTTTAGATTTAAAAAAAATGGCAACATTAGCCTATGTGTAAGATACGATGTTAACGAATCGGTATTGAAAAGTGACTGAAAAAAAGCACAATGATTATATTAAATATTTATACTAAATATTAGTAGGAGTAGAGTCAGTTCGTATTCTGTATTTCTTAAAGTAATAATAATTCTGGACGATTCGCATAGCGCCATCTATCAAACGAAGCAGAGCTGGTATTATGGGTACTAGACTACTGATAGAATACTTAAATATATATTTTTAAATACATACATAATATATAGAAGATACACAGACTAATAAACAATCATACTTATTAATACAAATGTTTATACTGTGCGATTGTTTGTATTCCGGCTCGAAGGACCATTAATGTAGGGTCCTACACTAAGGAGTTTTAAAATAAAAATTCATTATTGACTGTAATTTCGTATAATAATTGAAATGAGAGAATGAGATGGAATATTGAGCGCATGTCGTATTCGGTGGCGAGATCAGAAGTGAGGGCCAGTTGGTGCATTGCTCGCGGACTCCAGTCCGGCGAGACGACGATGTCCGAACAGTATTGTAGTATGGGTATTTTCTATGTATTACATACATATTCACAAAAACAAATGTTTTTAAGTATTCTATAAGATGTCTAGTACCTAAGAAAGCTTATAGAATGTAAATTGTTAATACTTAAATAACACAAGCTCTGCTTAGCTTGGGACTAGATGGCGCTCTGTGAATTGTCCTGGATCATTATTGTTAATTATATAAAACAAACTATTTTTTAATTATTACTCGATTTTCGATGATATTGATATCTCTATCCAAGAGCCTCCTTACAAACGTATGAATATTGCCCAGTGTTGCCAGTGTACTTAAATAAATCAATTAGACTACCAAAGTTAAAAAAAATCACTGAACCATCTTTTCTATCATCATTGTTCCCGGGCATCCTACAAGTCTTAAAATAATACAAAGGCACCTTCCTGACCGGGTGATTTCGTTAGAAGTGTGTACGCACTTGTAAAATTGTCTATACCAAAAGAACTCGGCTAGGAAACATCAAAGTAATTAGTGCGGTCACATTATTGGATTCAGTCGATCGATTTTACCATGCAAAGAGGCGGGGCTTAGCAAACGAACGCGCCAATCGGAAGTAAGCAAATACTGATGACTGAATGAAAATCGATCGACTGAACCGCATAATGTGTGACCACCGTGGCGCGCACTAGTCAAAGCTTTTTTCTTAAGGTAGACTCTATTAAGTAAGGTTTATTATTTAGGAAGAGACAGCGCGTGCCATCGTCAGTGATTGCATTTAGCTATTTTTTGTGTTCACTCTTTCGCGCGTACACTTCAGGGTATTTCAGGTGCTTTTAAAATTTTTATTTTTTATTCCATACACTTTATTTCCCAAAGACACGTTTAAGATTTATTACTTACTAACTTTTATCCGCGGCTTCGCTCGCATTGAATCGAAAATTGTTTTTTTTAATAAATATCCTATGTTCATTGTATTGATGATCGGTTCAGTAGGTTTTGCGTGAAAGCGTAACAAACATCTACTTTCACATTTGTAATATTAGTAAGCATCAATAACTCTATAATTATGACTTTAACAATAGTCAGATATCCGTCTTTTTGCAATGATTGCTACAAAAGGAGCTGAAACGTGCGTGCTTCAGCGCCTATTTTGAAGATATTGAAGAACGCGGGAAGGCCCTCACTGACGGCACGTGCAGTCTTTCTCGCTCCCTTTCTCTACACTTACATGCATATTATTTCTTGCTTGAAAGCCTATTCGCACGTGAAAGAGCGTAGGTGTAAAGGAAGCTGATGAAATCTTCCTGAGTTATTTCGGTATAGACTCATTTACAAATCGCATACATTCGTCTATAAGCGAAGACGTCCCTACCGAGACAGGATAGGTTGTCATAGTGATAATATTGTACAGTAAAAATAATTTAATTAAACTAGGATTATGTTATAATTGAACAGGGTTTGAAGCTGTTGTACAAGTCAATTCTGGCTACGAGATATCTCACACTTATTACAATACTGTATTAACTCAAAATTTATCAAATTTTGGAAATAGACTTTAATAAATAAAACCTTAGAGTTCATTTTTCTAAATTTGTTTATTTTCAGTTAAATCAGTATAGCACTAAGGGTGTGGTATGTATGTATAAGAAAAAATATATTAAGATATTAAATTATAGACTTTCTCGTTACTGCAATGCGTTTAGATATTATTATTTTTAAACTATATATTTTGTTATGATTAAAAGTACTGCAATGGGCTTTAATAATGTTAACATTTCTTTTAGTGATGTAAAAATGTATACACGTGTTTTATTTTTTACTCTTATCAACAAAATAGAATATAGTTAAATTAATACTTTACAAAAATTATGAAAAGATTCAGTATCAACACTTTCTCCAAACTACGATTGTGAGATCCATTTTCCACTGCATTAGTATTAAATCGTAATAAAACAGAAACTACATAATAATCTGCTTATTACTGGAGACAGATTCCCCTGTCCAATTCAAACGGGTATCGTAATTACTATTGACTCAGACTAAAATCGTATGCGTCAGGCGGGAGTTGTCCTTCAGCTGCTCCATAAGTCCTTCCACTGGTTTGGAGTGCCATCTGCACTCGCTCTCTATTCCTCGAAAGTTGTAAAGGCCAGCTGCAGCCAACAGCATTAGAATAGTATAATTAAGCGTCTGAATCGTAGTAAAAGATCACTAGAATGTTATCGTTTGATTTTCGTATGATTTTAATTGTTTTTCTGATTTTTGGTATTGAATACAGCAACAGTAACGAGAAGACGCCGTATTGCAAAAATATATATAGAAGTAAGAATATAATGAAATTATCCCAAAAATATATTAATAGATTTGTAGATAGTGATTGTTATTGCTTTTTTTTATAACTAGCTTTAGTGTTTGTTTACATGTTACTTATTAATTTATTAAAGTTTTAGAAATTAAGCAGTATGGAATATGTTCTGTGCAATTTGATTGAAAAAAAAAAACGAATGACGAATTTTTGATATTATTATGTAATTTTTCAAAATATCTCTTCAAAAAGTTTCTTAAATTTTTGTGGAGCATGATTTTTTTTATTATTTAATCTGGTAACTTTCAAAATATGTCTTAATTCAATTACTATGAAGGAATTATTTGTTATTTCATTGTAAAAAGATTAATGAATATCAAAATGTGTTATCTATTATTTTTTTATTGTCTTCTTACGCTTGAAAATGTCACAATTGCATTATGATTCTGTTCTTAGAAGTACTTATGGTGTTTTTTTTTTAATTTACTATATTTTATATCAATTCAGGACTCTAGGCTTTTTAGCTTAATATTATTTAGTTGTCTATGACTAATAATGATATCCACTATCGCATTACTCTTTGTTAATATATAAACATTTTTATTAATTAAATTATATAATATAATTACTAATAAAAAAATAACGAAATCAATTACAATAAAAACAATAAAATTATATAACTTAATAATTTAAAGTATTTTTTCAACTTCCGAGAACAGATTCATATGTATT